TTTTTATATGATATATTCATTTTGCTTTTACATCATCTTATGTGTCGTTCTGTAAGTTAGTGTCTGATTCTTTCATCTCTTAAGCAATACATTATTTCAGTGAAGTTTTGAATGAATCTAGAAGTATCAACAGTGAACTGTGTTTATAAATATTGATATGTAATATTTGTATTATGTATTTTTAAATATATGATAAACCATAGTAGACGAAAGTAAATAAATATATTTCTCTAAATTGTAGAAAGTGAGTGAAGTGGAGTTTTGAATGAATCTAATGACATCGATAGCCAACTGTATTTATAAATATTATGAATATGTAGTAATTTTGTAATGTATTTTTATATGTATATGGTAAAACATAATATAATAATACAAATGAATGTATTTCTGTGAAGAGTTGTTTTTAGTTTACCTTATTCTTTCTTTATAATTTAACACTGATGCTCATTTGTGTATGTATTATTAACTTCATATTTATATCTTCTGAATGTATATCTAATTCAAAGTTAAACAAACTGTTTGCAATTTTTTTTTCAACTGTTGAAGGTAAGTTTCTACAATTTTCTCTCTATCAAATTATTCATGTTCATAAGGAATAATTCATTCTCAGTTTTCTCAATGCTGTTCTTTTAAATTTTGACACTGGCCTTAACATTTTAAAAATTATCTTATGCTGATTGTTAATACTATACAGCAATTTGGTTATAGTTGATTGACTGTATTAGTTTATATCATCGAACCAATTATCAGGATCCAATCATTATTTTATTGCAAAATACAAATCTCAATGCAAATTTTTGGTTGTTTATCAAGGATGAAATTAAATCAGATATATGAGAAATATATAAACGTACATAGTACGGACAGAAACAAATAACAGAAATATAATCAATACAAGTAAATTAAGGATAGAGAGAATAGTATAAACATAAATAATAATAGAAATGTATATTATTTTACTTTATTTATACCATCATCGCTTCATTTATCGTTATTTACTTTTATTATTTATCACCCTCCGAGGCATCTGAAAAGAAGATCGCCTCGAGATCTGCTTTTGTAAATATATTTTTAGAATGCTACAGTGGGTAGTTTCTCAACAAGTGGTTTATTGCTATTCTATTCTTGTGTTCACATTTACTGAATGTATTTTTATTTGTAATACAGTTGTAAATATCATAAATAAAAAATAATAATTATTTATCTTTTTGAATCAAAGAAAAATGAAGTAGAATAACAAACTGTCTGAAGTTTAAATTTTATTTTTTATTGTGGGAAATTTGGGTTCTAATATGTAAAACTTTGACACTAGTTTATTTATTATATATTTTACAAAATTACAAACAACATTTAACATAAATAAAAATAACAATTTGTATTACGCTACATTTTTTTCATTTATAGTATATATTTACTAAGTAAAGAATACAAGTACATAAGTTTTATTGATATACATTTATTTTTTATTCATTTACATAAAAATAAATTAATGAATTACAGATATCAAATGTATTGCACTGTTAAGTCAGTGTTTAATTTATAAAACTAATACTTTTAAATTTACAAACTAGGTCTTCTACAATAGTAAAACTGATGAATTGGTTTATATTTCTTCAAGATATAACAAAATTGATGTTTCTTCTTAATTGTATATTGATCTGTGTTTGTTAAACGAAAAAAAAAGATACTTGCTCGTCGATTACAATATTTCTGCTTATGATGAAAAGTTCCTTAATCATCCAACATACATAATTCATCAGAGAGATCTTGAACATTAAGACAATTGATTTGTTCTACGGTGATGAATATTCTACTTAAAAATTTATAATAACTAGAAAATTAATCCTTAAAATATAAAGAAAACAGTGGATAGCTAACTTTATGCTTTTAATTGAAACAATAAAATAGAAAATTGTAATACAAAAATTATAATTATAACAGTTTAGTGAATAAAAATTCTATTTATTCATAATTACATTATATGTATTTATTACCTATTTCATAAATATTATATGAATTGCAAAATTAATGTAAACAAAAATACTGAAAAAAATAACAGTACTATTCTTGCTTTGATGTCTCAGATCATTGTGTATGCTGGCGTTACATCTAAAGGTTTATTATAAGATCACAATTTTTGCTTTGATACACCTCAGATTGTGATTGTATCACTATTACAAAATAAAAATTATTTCATATAAATAATAACACTTAAATCATAAATAATAGTGGATGAATTGAAAATCTTCAATAATGATTTGTTTTTTACAAAATAAAATTAAAATGTTTTTAAACTTAATTTAAAATTGTCTTTTTTATTTAAGGACAACACTGTGAATTAGATAATTGCAGTTTCTTTTTGTAAAAATCTTGTTATGTTTTTATTAAAAAATCCCTTTTGGAGCACAATTTTTTAAAATATTTTATTTAAGGCTTTTCTTCATCAAAACCTTATTACATTTATATCTGGGTTTATTTATGAACATAAAGTTATCACTCTATATTTAGGTAACAAACGTGAAAGATGACATTATTAGAATTAATTAGTTTTATTAATTTACCATAATCGTTATCGTAAAATAAAATTTTATTTACACAAATCTTGGACCCAATGAAGTAAAAAGGATCTCAATTATTCATAATGTGTGAGTTAAAACTAAAATATAAGTGCTTTGGTTTCATTAAAAGAATTTTTTTCTATATTTTTATATAGTACTGTTCTGTAAGGTTAAATTCATTAACATAATTAGAGAAGGTTTCACGATGAAGAGCTGTAGCAACCGAGACCTTGGCGCATGGTTCCATATCTTGTCATCTCTGGATATTTGCAGCTAGCATCTGAAATTTAAAAATAAGTAAATAAAAATAAAATTAATCATTATAGCTCGTCCACAAGAATATTGCAGACCAAGGGCGAACTCATGCGATACTGAATCGAAACTAACATTCCTCTCTAAATACTCTAAATACTAATTCCTCTCTTTGAAAGTTCAATTATAAAATTTATATTTAAGGTGAAATAAAAACAAAAATTTCAATTATAGTTCAATCGTTCATCAGGTCAAGTAATATGTGGAAAGGGAACATTTTTTCTGTTAAATTCTTGTGAAGAAGCTATATTATCTCCATTTATTTCTTTCATTATGCAATATGAAAAAAATATATAAACAATTTATTCCAAGTAAGCTATTTATTTAAGTTCTATTTCTTTTTTTAAATATCTTTAAATTTTCAAAAATTAGTACATCCTATCAAAAATGTTTATCATTTTGCTATTACAATTATTCAGTACTATGAACCACTTGTTGAGTCATAGACTGCCAGTTTTCTCTTTTGCCTTGAGAAAGCATTTTTTTTTTTAGGTTCACATTTTGCTTTCTCAAGGCTCTTCTTTTTTTTTTTTTTGTTAGGTCAACATTTTGAGTGGTATATAAAGTGCTGGTTGGATTGTTGGTGTGGTTTTCTGAGAGCATCCTTCTCTGGATTTCTTCTTCTAAGCTGTTCTTTTGATTAATTTGGGATCCTGGGTAAATGAAGGATTGTACATTTTTAAATCTATACAGCCCTAAGACTTTCATCATCTTCACTGGTAATTAGTTGCAGACTCCTCCAATACCTGAAAAGCTTCCCTTACAGTGTTTAGGATCAATCCTGAAAGATTCATATCTAAAATCTGGACTTTCCTGCTAAGCAGTGTTCCTGTTGCACATATGCATTTATAATGGTTTTTAAATTAAATTAAGTTAAATACTAGAGAGGCCCAATGACCTGTCATATATCTGTTCCTGTTGTCTGACAAAGCATAGATTGTTCTCCATTATCATTATTATAAGCTGAACCAATTTGGCTGGTAAATTCATTTTCATTATTGCCTTATATGCTCCTTTTCTGATCACAAAGTCACATGTGACGATTACCTATCTGGTATTCCTTTGCCTTTTCTAACAGAATTCACTGAGTAAAACTATGATTTGTCATTGAACTCATTCTTCCAAACTAATATTTCTTCAGCTTTCATTCAGCAATGGAAGCAATCTATTAAAAATAATGATTAACCATGTTGATAATAGGAGAAGAAATATCTTAATAATTATTACACAAACTATAATCTCCTTAATTATATATGAAACAAACCATTTTCTGCTGGTAGCTGTTCTCTCCAAATGTCCATAAACAATTCTTGAAGAAATTGAATGATTTTATATTATTCACTTCTTCACTATGCTTTGCATGGAATGTTCTGCGTTCTTGAGGACACATTGTTATTTTGTTTCTTAGAGCCATCACATATTTTTTTTTTTTGTTTGGAGACTCGATTAAGATTGGGATGTTAAATATTTTAAATTAATTATCTAATAAATATTTTTGAAAATTAAAAAAATTTTCAAAAATATTTATTAGATAATTAATTTAAAATATTTAACATCCCAATCTTAATCGAGTCTCCAACCGGAGAGTTCAGACGGTTACACAATGCCGAATTGCGTGAGATGTATCCGGGTAATATAATTGAGGTAATTTCATCGCGGCGAATCAAATGGGCTTGTAAAGTTGTTGGGCTTAGTAACGAGAGAATTCCTAAAAGGTTAATGTTTGCTGTGCCGAATGGTAAGCGTCCGAGGGGTAGGCCGAAGCGAAGATGGGAAGATTGCATTAAAGCCGATCTGAAGGGACTGGGTTTGGACGGCGAACGGTGGAGGGAGGTGTGTAACAAGCGATTGGTGGTGTCGGCATCGAACCTTCGGGTTCGCTAAGCCTTATTATTATTATTTATTATTATTATTAATAAATATTTTTATCACACTATTACCTGAACAAGAAGGAGATGCATAATTTTTTCAATTGATAAAAACGTAAACTGGTTTACAGTTGATTACAAACTGGGAAGTACAAATTCCTGGCTTACATAGAAGTCGGCAGCTGATCCTTTCACGTTGAACAATGGACCTTGCTCCTCTCGCGTGGTTGGAAATCAGCATTAAATTGAGTTTAGTTCTGCGCACTATTACGGTCCATGTGAGGTCTTCATTTTAGATCTATGTTTAATTATTATTATGATAAATGTTTAATTATTTTTAAGAAATATGTTTACATGATTATTTTAATTGATTTTTTTTTTTTTTTTCCACCAACAGGCCTTAAAGACCACGCGAATACCATGACGTTAATGCTTCCTCTTCATCTGCCTCCTCTTCTCCCATATGCCCCTCATGATCTCCGCGTGCTTACGTTTTCTCAATTTAATCAATTTTAATTGATTATAATATAGTGTTGTAAAAAAAAAGCCTTCAGCTGTGACTCGAGTCTTAAAGTCTTGACTCCTGAAGACTCAGTTCTAGAGCCTTTGGACCTCAAACCTCCTAGACTCGAGGTGAAGGCTTGATGAATTTATCTTAAAAAAATAAATAAATTATTGTACATGTTCGTAAGCAAATATATATCTCTTCTGTTGGTTGTAACAATGTGAACATATTTCCAAAATAATATGTGAATATATTTTTGAAATATAATGTAAATAAATAGATCAGAAAAACGGTGAAGTGTGCTGTCCAAGTTGGTGGAGGACTTTTTAAGGATTTTAAAACGTACAAGGGCCTTAGGCAGGGTGTCAGCCTTGCCTGTTTATTGTTTAATATGACTTGGACATAATGCGAAGAAGCTTGGCATCTATCAAGGAGGCATTTCTCGATATAAAGAAAGTAGCCCAAAGAATGGGCCTAACATTAAATTAGTCAAAAACCAAATATATGAGAGCAGGTCCAAAAGCATTAGATCGGCAGGATGCCCATGTGAAAATCGGTGACTTCACATTCCTGTGTGAACTCAAGTGAACTCTGATAATAATATGCAGCAAGAAATCAATAGATGGTTAATGGCTGCAAACAGATGCTATTTTGGGCTCCTGAAACATATCAAAAGTAGATGTCTCCCGAGGATCACCAAGGTGCAGCTTTATAAGATCCTTATAATAAGGCCTGTTCTAACCTATGATTCCAAATGTTAAATATTAAATAAGCAGTTTAAGTTTCGCACTACTTTTCGTTTATGAGCTAAACTGTTCTCATACATACACAGACCATTTTGTGGGACTTGGTAATTTGGATCCAGGGGAACTCAAAATGTGTATTTCCATTGAAAACTCAGATTCAAAAATTTTCACGATCGCAATACTTACCCTTAGGAATCGAAAATGAGGCGAATTATGTAGATTGCTAAATAGAAAATCTCATCTTTCAATCGACAACAAAGTACTAGTCAACAAGGCAATTCTGAAACGTGTCTGTCTAAATTTTCCTACATCAAAAGCATCCAATCCTTCCAATCCCAAGTCCTTTAAACAGTAGCTAATTCTACCATTCCAAATAACCAACAAAACACTACTTCATGACTTCAATTTCCTATTTGTTCAAGCCAAATTCCCCGAATTTCACTATATCCTGGTAATGGCGGGAGGACTTAGCTTGTGTGGGCCTATTGGTCCCTTTTGCCATATCCTTACTTATCATCCAAATCCTCTGGCACAATCCCTATTTAGTTCCACTCATCTCTATATCCCTCCTTGAGCTTTGGTAAATTTGTACATGAAGTTTTGGCAATAGAAATTCTCCACTTAACACATGTTTGTATGTGGCAATAGCACTCTTTTCTCCACTGGATTTTAGTACTAGTGACACGGTAGAGAGAAGGGCTGGGATCTCCTATATTATGGTTTTTCCTTCCACAGGCTGGTAGACAAGCCTGGTGCGTAGTTCATTTGGCTGATTGTAAATGGTATATATAACCATGCCTGTATTAAAGGTTTATGTTACTTTATTTATTTTTAAAAAAATTATTTATTATTTTTACTTAACATGATTATATTTTTTGTTAATGTGGAGTGAATGAACTTTTGCTCATTATTACAGTGTCCTTTATTGTGACAAAATGTAATATTACTCAATAAGAGTGTTTCTTAATAAAAGTAATGTTGTGGAGATGGTTGACCGTGATTGTAATTTGAGGAGTTGGTCGGGGGTTTGGTCAAATTTAATACTATATATTATGATAGTATTTTATTGGATACGTTGACATTTCGACTCACTTTTTAGGTATACATTAGGGCATTGTATCTGGCACTGCTGGAAGCAGCTAGGAGACAGAGTCAGTCTCCCAACAGCTCCCTGATGGAGGCCTACAATGTAGGTTGAAACGTCGAGATATCCAATAAAATACTATTATAATATATAGTATTAAATTTGACCGCACCCCCGACCAACTCCTTCTAAAAAAAAAGTAATGTGCAGTGAAGCGGCTGAGAAACAACCGTTGAGATCTCTTAGGGTCTTGCCTTGTCCTTAGAGTTCCCTCGGCTGATTGTAAATAATGCAATTAATTATGAATATGTTTTTATATGAATTTTTATATTTTATTGTAAGTTTTATTTATTTTGTTTTTGTTATATTTTTATTTTATTGTTGTATTGTATGTTCATGGCATGAATGTGCCTCGCATAGCTCTAATATTTAGTGCCCTTAATATTGTGGCAAAATGTATTATTTCTTAATTAAAAGATATTTTTGAAAAAAATAAAATTAGTAACTATTAACTTAGCAGATAAAGTAAAATGTGTATAGCCAAACTAGTTTTTGAGTTATTTTTTATTTACATTAATAAAATAGTCCTCTACGATTATAGTTATTTCAGTGGCAGAATTCCGCAAGAACCATCCTGAAACAATATATTATATTTTAATTTAAGTAATACAATATAACATCATATAATATATGTGATTACAAATGAACTACAAATACCCATAATTATCACAACAGACCATCCCGTTGCGACAACATTGTTGGTAAATTGAACAGCAATTTCTGGGCGAACAGCGTCTCAACAAAGTTCCAGACTTACTATGGGTGTAGTCAACAGATAGACCTGGAAGTAACCATATCCAAATTTCAATTTTAATTAATCAAAAACCATTTTGAAGATGAAGAATAGTAAGGAAATGTAGTCATTAATAGTATTTATTAAGTAAGTCGAAGTTTTCACCCAAGGGTCATCATTAATTTTTTTTTTATTATTCATGATATTTACAACTATATTATAATAGAAATACATCTAGTAAATGTGAACAAATGAATGCGATAATGTGAAAAGACTTGTTGAGAAACTTCCTACTGGTAACACTATAATAATGTCTACATTAGGAGATCATGGAGCCATCTTCTTTTCAGACATCTCAGAGGGATTGAAGAGGGAGCAAGATTAGAAACGAGAGTTCAGATGGTTCTGAAGTTTATTATGGAAGGATAGGTATCTGGATTAGGCCAAACGAATTACTTAAACAAACAAATGCTACTTCAACCAAAGAAATCGCACCTCAACCCGTTCCTATGTCGTCTAACACTCAGGACAAATTGTCAACCAAGAATATTCCTAAACCCCCCTCTATAAATTTAAAATCAGTTAAAAACTTCAAAGAATTATGTCAAAATTTATCAACAGAAGTCGGACCTCGCGGGTTTTATTGTCTTTCTAACACAAATGAGACAAAAATATTTCCATCTACTCCAGATGATTATCGAAAAATAATAAAACTATTAAAAGCACAAAATGCAACATTTTACACATATCAATTACAGAATGAAAAACCATTTCGTGTTGTCATTCGAAATCTTCATCACACTACAGAAATTGAAGATATCAAATTCGAACTCGAAGAACTAGGATACAGAGTAAAAAATATTAGTAACGCAAAACATCCCAAAACAAAAGTACCGCTACCGATATTTTTTATAGATTTGGAACAAAGTCCAACTAATCAAGAAATTTTTAATCTAGAATTTTTATTATATACTAGAATAAAAGTAGAGGAACCATACTTAAGAAAGGAACCACCACAGTGTCAAAGATGTCAAACCTATGGCCATACAAAAGGGTACTGTAGTCTTCCCGCCAAATGTGTTAAGTGCGCTGGACCACACCTTACAGCAAACTGTACAAAAACTAGAGAGACGCCCGCCACTTGTGCTAACTGCGAAGGTGCTCACCCAGCCAATTACAAAGGATGCGCTACATTCAAAAAACTAATATATCTAAAAAACAAACCATTTGTCAACCATATAACCTCTGGATCAGGATTAGAGATAGATCCCCTCCCTTCACAGACTCCAAATATAATGGATCCTTCAACAGCCAAATTAATATCAATAGAAACAAATGAAGAACACGTTAAATCAGTTCAAAAATTAGTAGAGAAAGATCTAACACCGCAGAGTAGTGATAAACCGTCTACCGTGGCAGGGGTCTCCTGTGCTAAGGTAACAGGGAGATATCCTTCTACAGCTTCTATCCAACCTTCTACTTCAACTTTTGATATTTCTTCAGCTATAAAATCTTCTATGGAACCTCTTCTAACTGAACTTAAATCCCTTTTATCCCCTATTTTAGAACTTCTAACTAAACTAGTTTCTACTTTCATTTCTAATCCTTCCAATGACTAATTCGAAATCACCTTCTCTAAAAATACTCCTATGGAACTCCAATGGTCTGCTCCAACGAAAAAATGAACTGGAAATTTGTTTAAAAGAACATGACATAAACATAGCTCTGATTACTGAAACTCATTTAACAGACAAACAAACATTTAAGCTACAAGATTACGAAACTTACAGAACTGACCATCCAGACCACACAGCACATGGAGGAACTGCAATTATTGTGGACAAGTCCTTAAATCACCATATTCTTCCTGCTGCTTCTACGAATTCCCTACAATCCACCAATATTTCTCTAAACTCCTCAAAATTCCAACTCACGATTGCCTCAGTCTATATAGCTCCCAATAAAGTTATATCCACGAATGAATTAAAGGCTATTTTCTCGACAATGGGAAAATCATTCATTGTAGGAGGAGATTTTAACGCAAAAAACACAAGGTGGGGATCTAGAGTGTCCAATACTCGTGGAAAAAGACTACAAAAATGTATTGAAGATTTGAAATTTTCTGTAATTTCGCCATCTCAACCTACTTACTGGCCTACTTCACTATCAAAGTCTCCCGATCTTCTTGATTTCTTTGTCACAAGCTCCTTACCACATGCACATTCCAACGTTTCCTCTCTCCTTGACCTTTCATCTGATCATAGCCCAATTTTACTTGAACTTTCGAACAACCCTTTCGTTAAACCCAAACCCCCGACATTAATTAACGGTTACATAAACTGGGACGACTTTAAACATTTTTTAAACAACAAAATTACGTTAAACACTTTAATTAGTACAGCTGACGACCTCGACAATGCAGTCAACGACCTAACAAAAAGTATACAAGAGGCTATTTGGCATTCAACGAGACCACCAAAGACATACACTAAACCTGCTTCTTACCTACCTCAGCCAATACATAATCTTATAAAAGAAAAACGTAGGATTAGAGCCCTATGGCAAAGAACTAGATATCCATCGTACAAAACAGAACTCAACAAACTAACTAGAAAACTTCACGAAAAACTATTAAAATTTAAAAATGACAGCTATAAAGACTACATAGACACAATAAACAATAGAAATGGATCAATATGGACAACAACAAGACGTATACTAAAGAAAAAAGACCTTCAATACCCTCTCCGACGTACAGACAACACTTGGGCAATAACAAGCGAAGAAAAAGCCAATGAATTCGCTAAATATCTTGCACAAGTATTTGGGACAAACAGAATACAGGACAATAATTTTACTGACGCAATAGAAGAAGAACTGACAACACCACTACCCTTATCACTACCCCCACCGGCATTTCATCCGAAAGAAATTTACAAAGAAATCAACAGACTACCAAACAAAAAAGCTCCTGGCTATGATCTAATCACTCCCTTCATTCTTCGACACCTACCTCGAAAAGCTGTTTTGTTTCTTACACATATCTATAACTCCATTTTACGCACTACCTATTTTCCTCTCCTTTGGAAACTCTCCACAATCAAAATGATTGCCAAACCTTCAAAACCTACCACTTCTCCTTCATCCTATCGTCCTATAGCACTTCTTCCAATAATGGGCAAACTATTTGAAAAACTATTACTAAACCGACTGAAGCCTATTCTAGAATATAGTGAAGTGATACCAAATCACCAGTTTGGCTTTCGCTGTTATCACTCTACTGTGCAACAGTGCCATCGGATAGTAGATGCTATCTCTATGACTTTTGAAAAAAAGGAATATTGCTCTGCCGTCTTTCTCGACATAGAGAAAGCATTTGATAGTGTCTGGCACAAGGGCCTATTATGGAAACTAAAACCGCACTTACCTTCCACTTATTTTTTAATTCTTCAATCCTACTTTCTTAATAGATTTTTCTGTATTTCCGTAGACTCTTCTGTATCTTCCTTCTTTCCCCAACACAAAGGCGTACCACAAGGTAGCGTCTTGAGCCCAATCCTCTATTCTATATACACTTCTGACATCCCTGAGCACCCTAATACCACCATTTATTGCTTCGCTGACGACACTGCTATTCTATCTTCACACAAAAATCCTACTATCGCATCAATTGCCCTACAAAACCATCTTCATTCTCTTGAAAAGTGGTTTGAAAACTGGAGAATCAAAATTAATAGTACAAAATCCACCCACATTAGTTTCTCTCTTAGGAAAGCCTCATGTCCACCCATAACGATTGCCAATAATCCAGTGCCTTCAAAGAACTATGTACGGTACCTTGGACTCTACTTAGACAAAAGGCTTACTTGGAACATACATACGAAATTAAAAAGACAAGAACTTACTAGACGATATAGCCAACTTTCACATCTTCTGGACTACAGATCTTCACTTAACTTACGAAACAAGCGACTTATCTACAACACCTTACTGAGACCAATATGGACATATGGAGCAGAACTTTGGGGTTCAGCAAAACAAACACACATAAACAAAATACAAACAGCACAATCAAAAATTATACGAAAAATTGTTAACGCACCTTGGTACATTTCAAACACTACTATACATAACGACTTAAACATCCCAACAGTAAAATCCTACATCCACGACAAATACACTACATTTCATTCTTCAACCCAAAATCACTCCAATCCTCTGGTTCTTTCTATCTCCTGCTCCCTGTTACCTGAGCAACGAAGATTAAGAAGAAAATGGCCAAGAGACCTACTACATCAATAAAAAAAAAAAAAAAAAAAAAAAAATCAAGCAATTACACCAAGACAATAAAAATACAACAAATTTGCTAGATGCGCAGCTGCGCAGGTGCAAATTGCATAAAATAAAATAAATAAATAAAATAAAATAAAAAATGATTAATTTGAAGCTTAGAACATTTGTCTATTAGTAAGTGGTGAACAATCAGAAAACATCAAGCATTTCTTGTCTGGTATGTGGAATCCAAGTTAAACGTTAATCCTAAATATCGGATTTGTTTAACAGAAATAAGTGGGGTATTATTAAAAGATACTGTAGAACAGGAATATACAAACCTTAAATACACAATTTCAGTTTCGTACGACTTCTTGTTTTTTAACTAGGCTGTTCAGGTATATACACACTCACAGATCATTTTGTGGGACTTAATTATTATGGGGGGTGGGATAGCCGTGCGGGCTAAGGCGCTTGGAATAGTTAAGCAACGCCGAGCGTGGTAAGCACTTGGATGGGTGACCGCCCACCAGAGAAAGCCACGCAACCCGAGATCCTCCCCCCAGGTGAGACCCGTCAGCTTACTGGAGGAAAGTCACACCGACCGGGCGTAGGACTGATTACCTTACCCCCGTGTACTTAAATCGGGAATCGGGATGTGGTCTAGGAGACCACATCTCGCGAACAAAGATCTTAATGATGTCTGTAGCGCCAACTGAAAAAAAAAAAATTATTTGTACTTAGGAAACCTCAAAATGTGTATTTCAATTGAAAACTCAGATTCGAAGATTTTCACGATCGCAATACTTTTCCTTACTATATATTACATATATATGTAAGTGAAATTAAAAAGATTAATAGTCTGAATGTACCATACATAACTCTAGTACTTATTGCCCATAAGTATGGCAGAATGTCTTATTCGTAAATAAAAGATTATTGTATGTAATAATAAAAGATTCACTTACCACTGATTGACGGTATGTTTATGATACCAGCTGAGACGAGCATATGGTATTGTAAAATACAGAGACCTACAACAAAGTAAAGAAATAACATTCTCATATTTCTGTCACTCACCTCCGACGTTAGGCGAATGATTAAGCTGTCTTTCTAATTCCTGGTTGTTGAGATAAAGTTATTAAGGCACCTTTATGGTTTCTTTTTAATAAGTGAAATCAGTAAGATCCCGTCATAAATTTATTATCGAAATTACATAATGGAACCCTCCATTTTTAATTTTGTAACTAATTAAATTTTCGATGAAAAATTCACTAATTTTATAAAAACGGTACTCACTTTAGAAAACAAGAAGCAATCATGACAAATCACAACACTTAAGTTTATACTTTGACAAGACACGTACACACCTGTCAAACATTTAAAAAAAAATCTGTATTTTCAAATTTGGATCAAATACCTTGGACCAATAATCGACAGATGGATGACTTAAGACCCACATATAAGTATTAATGGCACAACTGTAGACATACAATTGAAATTACTAACTCCCTGTTTTCCAAATCTTCAAAGATAAACATTACTAATTATATACACATATCTGCTTGACATACACCTCACAGATTTACGATTTCGCAAAGAATACTAAAAAAAACTACAATCTTTTCAATGCTAAATATTAAGATTAATAGCAGTAGCTCCCTGGTACGTAACAACAAAATTTCATATTCCGATTTACGACAACCAACAATCGAACCACTCATACTTATAGTCCGCGATACAGACCCCTTTTTTCATCTCACCTTAACGTACAAATATTTAATTTACGAAAATTCTTGGAATTGGGGCGTTTTCAATCTGGAGGGGGGCAAAGTTTGTCTATTTAATTAGGTACTAAAAACTCGTAAATACCCATTTGCTTGCCACTTGTATCTAAGATAATCTGATTACAAAATTAATAAAAAAAGTGGGCTACAAAAATATTGGGCCGTTTGTCCTATATAACCACGTTATTTTGGAGGGGTAGGCTCATATTTTTTGAAGACCATCTTTCTTCTAAATTTTGTGTTCAATTATCTTACGATTCAGGCGGAAAGCAAATGGGTATTTGCGACTTTTTAATACCTACTAAATATACAAAGTTTGCCTCCCTGCAGATAGAAAACACCCAAATTTCAAGAATTTTCGTAAATTAAATAGTTGTAGGTTACGATGAGATGAAGCTATTTACGAAGTTTCCGGCAGATGTTAATAATTTGATAAAAAGGACCCTGTACCACGGACTATTACTCTTTACTCCCCATTTTATAATAAACTGAACAGAGAAGCTGACTACTTGTAATTTTTTTTCTCCAAAATAACTTCAGTAAATTTTTATATGCCTATTTATAATCGGGACTGATTTGGTAGAAACTTTTCGAAACAACTACAATTTTTGATAAAAACAAAACAAATTATGGAATGGTAAAGATTTCTTATTTCGTTGAATAATTATAAATGTTCTATATATTTTTTAAATAATTATTAGATTAACGTTTTTGTTTTTCCTGTAAATTCCCTTACAGTTTGCTTGAATCTTCAGTTTAAGTTCAAATGTTGTTATGATAAGATAAAAATTGAAAAAAAAATGTTGAAATGAAACTGTCATTAATTAATCTGTTTCCAAACTAAATATTTTCATAGAAATCGATGATTCACTGTTATTTCATGACTGTGGGAAGTACAGTTAGATAAAAATAAGTAAAAAATCTATTAAATGATCCATGTTCCAAGAAGTATTAACTAACTACGTAATCTTTTAATGTTAACGAAAATAAAAATGACAATGGCTTGATGAACTTCATTTATTTCATTAATATAACGATTAATAGAATATAGTTTTATTTATTAATTTTTTTGCTTCGAATTCATTCATGCTTTTTCTATTTCTATTTTAGTTTTATTTTATTTATCTCTTTGTCCTCCATTAATTAATCTTCAATGGAAAGTACAGAATTCTCCATACAACTGGTGTGGTACGCGCATCACACAACTTTCATTTATCAGCCTACTTAGGTAGATATATCACAAAACGTTTTTTTCTATAGTGCTCAAAGAACCCAAGAAATTATAGAGTTATTCTTCTTCATTTACCTCTTCAATTGATTTTTAGTTCGTTGAAGTCAATCGTAAATATATAACATAGGTGATAAATATTCAGGACGCAGTCATTATAAATTTTTTTTATTTGTGCCGACGTTTCAACCCAAACATGTGGGTCATCATCAGGGCGTGTTTCGAGCAAGTACGTGAATACCTCCAGTGCTCGAACCACGCCCTGATGATGACCCACATGTTTGGGTTGAAACGTCGGCACTAATAAAAACCTTATAATGACTGTGTCCTGAATATTTATTACCCATGATATGTAGAACAGTCGACTAGCTTCCTTTAATAATTTATAGAAATATAACAATGTTTTAATTTATGAAACATTAACTAAACGTAATAAGTATCCCGTAGCATCAAAGACGCTTTCGGTAATAATTAGGATTAAAATGGCATATTAAATTGGCCGACACCTCGGAAACAGGTGAATTCCATAATCCAGGTGAATCCAGGTGTATTTTATTTTTTTATTTGGTCTAGTATTTTGCCAGAAAATGGCGGTCGAAATTCCTTAACTGGATAATTGACATCTGTGAACATAAAACACAACATTTTGCATAATTATTTGCTTAAATTGAAACAAAAATAGTTTTAAAGGGATTAGATCACCCTAGAAAATCCTTTCAGCTACAATATTCAGTTATTTCGACAATAAATGAAGATTTTTTATGGTTAATATTTGTTTTGTTTTTTATTATTTGCTGTTTTTACAGTACAGAGCATAAATACAAATTATTTATTTAATTCAGCTCATATCCCATCCTTAATAATTTAATACAGCACCACGCATTCTTACAAGTTACACAGGTTGAAGTGGCAGTGGCCGATACCTTTTGTGAATAAGCATATATTGGGGTTTTCGTAATGACCAGATTCTCCATTCAAGCAATTTGTGTGTGCGCCTTTCCTCAGTCTTTACTGGTCCTTAATATCAGTAAATCGGTTGAGTGAGAGGGGCTGGGATCTCCTAGAGTCTTGCCTTTTCTTCCACAAGTGGGGGAGGGGAAGAGAAAGGCTTGGCCCGGAGTTCTCCTGAGTGAATGGATTCTGTACATATTGTATAAAATTACGTGTTTTATTTGTTATTTTGATTAGTTTAATTCTTTTGTTTACATAGATTTACTTTTAATATTATTACTTTTCTGTGTTATTTATTCTAAATAGAGTATGAATTTGCTCTCTAAACACTATTGTAAATGTCCTTAATTGTGACAGAATGTAATATTTTTTACTTTCACTTACGTATATATGTAATATGGAGTAAGGGTAAGTATTGCGATCGTGAATATTTTACGATTCATAATCATTTATAGGTTAAATATTCAGATATACTTTCAAACCTCAGTAGGAATATATGAGCCTTTCGGTTGACAGAATGACTAACTCCAATTTCAACATTTTCTATTTTTAATTTTAGTGATATTTTTAATGGTAAAATTTATGCCTTAATTCACAGTTCTATATTTCAACACTCCAATCACCTACTACGGAATCAACTTACTGTCTGTATAGATAACTTTTTCAACTAAAAATATCACTAAAATGACATTAATAAAAAATGTTGAAATTGGAGTTAGTCATTCTCTCAATTGAAAGGCTCAGAGACTGAAGTTGTGTGGTTTATAAAAGCAGATGGAGTGACTAGATTTTTATGTCCTACCATCGATGTAATAAATAGACTTCTTGTAATTATAATGGTCGTAATGATTTGTTATATGTAAGCTTTAAGCTCAAACATTTTATAATAGCCCAACATTACCAGAAAATAATTTCTATTCCAAGTAGAGCGGTAAATGAAAGTTGTGTGTTGCGCGCACCAGATTTTTTTTTTACAATTGTAAATATCATATAAATAAAAAAATAAAAAATAAATCAGTTAAAAAAAAATTCAACTCACTTTAAAATTAAAATGATAATAAAAAGACCCGTTGTTTAGTTACTTTTTTCCAAGATAAAATTTTGTCTCACCTTCCTGGGGGAGGGAAAGTCTGGATCCGCTAGTGTTTTTCTAGATTTTTCATATACATAGATGTTTACGAGATCCACTTGATCATAAGTAATCCGATGCGATTCTAGGCCAAAGTTTAGATTGCTTTGTCCTCGTGTAATGACCTAGAGATCTAAAATCCCTGGAATTGACGACACAAGATGGACCAGCGAAGGAGATAGTGCCCATCGAGTAAGTGGAGTAGGGGCGACGTAGCAAGCGCTGGCTCCAGTAGTGGTCAGCATGCCATCCATTCCTCAGCTTCTCCTCTTCTTGGCTCTCTGCTTTCTTGGAGGATCCACGGCAGTCCATGGCGACCACGATCCGCCGGAGTTCGGTGAGTATGTCTTCAGTTCTGGGATGGTTAGCAGAGCTTTCGTGGATAAATCTTACTAGGGTGAAGGCGCCAGTTATAGACATGGGATCCAGTGATGGACATATTCTAATTTAAATGTAAATAATAAGCTTTCTTGTTGATTTAAAGGTTCAAATTTTTTCTAGATTGAAGAACAATGCCCTCTATTGGCAACTATATAAATAAAGTTTCCAAAAAAAAAAATTAAAATGCCTATCACAGTAGTTTCTATGGTGCTCTTGAGATCAGTGTGTTTCATACCTTCCTACTAATAGTTCTGCTAAGAGTAAGTTGAACATTTATGTTCAATAAAGTTAAATAAAGATAAAGTTTTATAGGTAAATAAAGGTTGTAGAATTTTTCTGAGCGATGTCCATTATTGGTACCGAACCCCTGTCCATGAGATAGATAGATAGAAATAAAGCTTTATTTCATATACATTTTACATATTCCTTATTATTTTTTTTTTTTTAAACAAAACTTTTTAAAATTTTATTTGGTGACCCTCTGTCCATTACTAGAACAATTGAATTTCAGGGTGTGCGAAAAGTGTTTTTGGTTTATTATTTTCAATAATCAACCATTGTGATCGACCAAAAATTTCAAAAACTTAACCCCCTTTCAAAATTTGAGGTTTCAGGATGCGTAGAATTCGAAAAACGAATACAATTTTTTTGTCCGTCCGCCGTCCGCGCATTTTCTCGGAAACTACTCGACCGATTTTTTTTTCAAATTTGGGTATAAAATCAGAGGTCACTCGAGGATGATCCTCCTTCATCAACATTACTATCCGCCTTTTACTTTCAAATTGGCGGCCGAAAAACCTCCGTTAGCGTAGATTGTAGCTCCTAAACGAATGTAAGGATTTCAATGAAACTTCGCTAAAGTAATTTTCTTGACGCCCTTTAAATTTATCTTTATAACATACTTCAACGAAAAGAAGCAGGAAAAAAAGTTACGAGGGATGGTAAAATTTAATTCCGAATAACTCAAAAATTATAAACTTTTTTGTCGCTGTCTACTCCAAATGTTATACCCTTTGTTTGGTTTTTAAATTTTGAATGTGTTAATGAATTAATGCTATGTTTTTTAGCATATTACTAATAATTAAAAAAAAAGGTTCAGTCCAACAATTGGAATCACCTTTTATTTATTTTCTTTTGTAACTAGGAAGGTAATGTTATTTTAGATGTATAGTTGTTTAGAAATAATAAACCATTGTGAAATAATTTGCAGCTTTTTTACATGGAGATTATACATTCATAACTCAATATTTTTTCAATTTTTTTTTTATTTATTTATTTAGAATTATAACAATCTGTCACGTGGACAATATATTATAGTGATATAGGAACATATTCACACAATTTTCAATTTTAAAGTATTAAATAGAAAAAAAAAAAAGGAGATTCTAGAAAATCTAAACGTCAAACGGAGAATTTTATAACTATAATAATTACGGCGGCATAAACCACTAGCGGATCCAGGATTTAATTTTGGGGGTGAGGGGCTTCAGTCCGAAAGATTTTTTTTTCAAATATATAATGATAATTAATTTTTTTTAAAAAAGAAAGAAATTAACTACCTATATGAAATGGTGTTTAAGTGATTCTTGAAGCCCTATCAAATGTAATTACACGAACAATGATACTATAAGAGATAGTTTTAAATATTTTTTCTATGAAACGTGGTAATATTTTACCTTTTTTTTGGGGGGGGGGGAGGGGCTTCAGCCAGAAAGCCCCCACCCCCGTAGATCCGCCTGTGGCATAAACCAAAAATTTCCTTAGCTGTGTCCATCACTGATGTACATACCCCTATTGCAAGGTAAGGGAATAAACAGTACGGTCGTGTAAATCCGAACACGGAAAATCACATGGTCTGTTCGGATTATCAAAAGTTAAATTTAAAATGATAGAATGGACAAGTTACGAAAAATATATGTATCATCAGTTAAATACGAACACATAGCAACCTAAAAAGTTTTTAGTTTGATATTAGTTAAAACTTCAACAGTCGACGTTATATCCACTCGCCTTATCTCAACTATTGTTAACGCTAGTGTTTATGTTTAAACGATGAAAAATAAAATGGGTGTAAAGAAATTGTTCAGTGAAATAAAAATTAATATAAAAAAAACCACAAGCGGATCCAGGATTAAATTTTGGGGGGAGGCTTCAGCCCGGAAGCTTTTTTCTTCATATATATAGCGATAATTAATTTAAAAAAAGAAAAAGAAACTAACTACCTATGTGACATGATGTTTAAATGATTCTTGTAGTTATATTAAATTTAATTACACGAACAATAATGCTTTAAGAGATAATTTTTAATATTTTTTTCTATAATACATAGTTAAATTTTACCATTTGGGGGGGGGGGAGACGTCGAGCGTTTTCTTGTCGTTTCAGTTTAGTAGGAGGTAAAAAAAAAGAAAAAAAAAAAGAAAAAAAAAAGACGATGAAATTATGAACATATCCTTTGCTAATAATATGCAGGTCCGATTTTTAGTTTTTGAGATATTTTAATCTATATGCAAAAATACTTCAATTAGTCGACTCCAGCCGACTTTATCCGAGCGTTACCCATCGGAAATCTGACGGCTCGATATAATTCATTCTCCACCAAAAAAAAAAAAAAAAAATGCAAACCCCGCCTGAAGAAGTATTCACTTACAAAAAACCAGGTGTTGGAACTTTTATGGATTTTTTTTTAAAGGCACGTTTTAACAGTTTCTATGAAAATGAAAGCGTCACAAAACTCAAAGTGTACAAATCCTCGACCCTAAGGCGAGAAAATTTTTCGAAAGAAAAATTATGAGACCAATATTTGGTCCCGTAGGCATACAAGGAGAATAACAGATAAGGACAAATGAGGAGCTGGATGAACTATTGAAGCATGAGGATAGTGTACGCTTTATTAAGGCTAGAAGAAATAGCTTGTTAGGACACGTGGAATGACTTTCTGATCACATAGCCACGAAAAAGATATTTAGGGAGGAATTATCCGGAAAAAAGAAAAGAGTATGATAGAGGAAATGTTGGAAAAGTGACTGATTTTGGTCGGATCTTTGCTTTTCAGAGCCCTTCCACAAGTTTCGGAAATATTAGTTTGTTCTATATAACCTCGTTATTTTGAAAATTTGGGGGTGAAGCGGCTCAACATTTTTGAAGGTGACCTTTTTTCTCGATTTTGTTATCAAATTATCTTACAATCCAAGTAGAAAGCAAATGGATATTTACGAATTTTTAGTACCTAATTAAATAAACTAAGTTTTACGCCACTCCAGATTGAAAACGCCCCAATTCCAAGAGTTTTCGTTTATGAAATAGTTGTAGGTAACGATGAGATGAAACTATTTACGAAATTTCTGCAGGATGTTAATAATTCGATAAAAAGGGGTCTGTACCACGGACTACAACAAACTAACCTTATAATTAAAATAAATTAAGTACAAGTAAACACATTAATTTGTAAATAAATATAAATTAGTGTGCTCACATATTTGTTCTGATTAACAATATTGTTAATATAAAAGTAACAGTAACATAACAATCAAATTAAGGTGCCAGCTCTTAAATTCGAAATTTTATTCTTACATTTATTCGAAGATTGATTGCTCAGGACGTGGAAGAATAAAATTTATTTAAATGAGGTTGAGGAAGAGGATTTGAGTATAAAGGTAGGAATTCCAAAAAAACTAATGTAAAATTAGATGGTCTTTAATATCAGGTAGTTATTTTCTTCATGATTGTCTGACTGGTCTGAAATAAAAAAATACTAATAATATAAATATTTTATGTAGTAAGGAGGGTGTACATTTGTTGGTATTAGTGTGGTCCAAATGCGAGACCGAGACGAGTGGTTATTGCAAACTCATTCTTGGTCTTATTGCTATAGAGATATTACTGTAATTTTTTAGATAGGAGAAACCTAACTAAGCCTGAATGAAAAATTAGAAGAGTTAAATGCAATAGTATATTGTTTATAATAATTATTAACATGTAGTAACTAAGATTGTCAAGTATTAGTAACTATTTTGTCTTAATTTTTACTCACAAAAACGATTTTTTTGCAACAGTTAGGTGGCCTTGGTCTTCGTCTTATAAAGCGCAAGACCAAGACCGATTTTGGGCAACACTAGTTGGTATTCGATATTCCTTGTAAAATGGAATATAACATCGAGATTTAATATTTTTTTTTTTATCATGCGGACAGCCATAGTCCATGCTGGCTGATATCTCTTGCACACAGTGATTACTCTGTTGATGTTTGCTTCACAGATATAATTCCTTCTAAGAGGAAACTTATCAATCAGGCTTTACGTATACATCTACTATACTTATATTAATCAATATTTCAATAATGATTTCGTTAAGACTTCCGCGTTGTTTGATGCAACACAATATGTCAATAAAGTATTTTGGTAGTTAAAAACAAAGCACATTTAAATTATCAAAACACTTTGAAAATATGATTTTTGCCGCTCTTAGGCCACTGTTAATGAAGTCATCGATAGTCGATATAATCGATGTTTTCCTTCAGACATTTGATACTTCGATATTTGATATATACTTCGATATTATCGACTATCGGTATCGTCCATTCGATATTTTAATTTAAAAAAAAAAAAACTATCACTCACAACCTAAGTAATTGTGACAAGTTAGGGAAGAAGTACTACCGATTATACAAATACGATCACTTCAAACGTTTTATATACGTATGGAAAGAAGTTGTACTACCAACCCACTTCTCTCTGGGAAGAAGAGAAGCTGCGCCGGGGAGGTCACAAGAATAAGAAGAAAAGAAAACCAGATGCAAGTGAAGAGAAGAGCAAGATGTATGCACAGCTCAGAAAAATAATGTAATAGCCAAAAATGCAGCAGTGGGTTGTTATGTAACAGTAACATCCCACTGCTGCAAATACTCGTATTGCCTTCAGGCAGGGGAGGGTTCAAATAAAATAAAATAAAATAAAA